GCAGGCAGGAGAAGGCCAGCGAGAAGAGCACGGCGAAGAGGAAGAGGCGGGTGGGGCAGGTCTGAGGCGTGAGGCGGACGATGAAGGAGAAGGTGATGGCGAAGATCCCGGCGGTCGCCAACAGGAACATGGACATGCACGCCACCGTGCCGCCGATACTGCTGCTGTTGCTGTTCTGCTGCCTGGATGAAAGGCAGACCCAGAGCGACCAGACCAGCAGGCTGACCAGGAGACACATGCTGAACACGAAGCCTGCGGACGCCAGGGTCTCCAGGACGATGCCCCACGCTGCCCGGCGGTCACACAAGAACCTGTAGACGGCGTTCAGTCCCGACCTGCAGCCCGGCACGCCGTTCAGAGACGTGACGTTTGAGGACGGAGCAGCATGGGTCGGCGTGTTTGTCGTGGCGTTGGCTGACCTGCTGTCCTGACTGAGACACGAGAGAGGGACGCAGAGGAGGAGGAGGGCGAGGACGGGGAGGAGGGGCCTGTTCTGAGACATTATTCTTTTATCCACGCGGAGACTCAAGACGCTCTTTTCTTTAGTTTTCCTTTGATGTTGAAGGTCGTTTCCCCTGAAAAAGAAAAAGCTCACGTCAGCAGAAACACTAAACATGTAGAAGTTTGGATTCACCTGAACGTGTACAACAGAAGACAGGAGAGGTCAAAGGTCACAGCGTGGAAAAGAGTACGAGGGAGACGAGTGATTTGACAGGTTGAGTCATAAACATGTCGGAACAAGACGAGAGGAGTCAGAGCGGGTGAGAGAGACGACGGGAACATAGAATAGAATAAAATAGAATAGAATGACTTTATTGATTCCAAACTGGTAAGTTGTGGCGTTACAGCAAATAAAACAATATAAGAATAGAAACATAAATAAACACTAAAAAATAAGAAAAGGAAGAGTTTTAACTTAACATTCCTACTGGTTTATAAAAAAAAGAAATAAAACTACTTGCTGGAGGTAAGAGATGTAAGTTTGTAAAAACAGTGATGACAGTGGTAAATGTGCAACAACGATACATGGAGGGGAGGTTAAGACTGAAATCTGTTTCTGGAGCGTCGTAGAGCGATCAGGAAATATTCAATCTGTTTTATCGTCTGTACAGCTTCAGACTGTTCTGACTAAGAGGAATGCTACGACTCATTCGATAGGCCAGCTGAAGAGAGACAGGAAGTGTTGGGAGGAGGGGGGGGCGACATGCACCAAAGGGCAGAGGTCGGAATCGAACCCATGGCCACTTCAACCAGGACTTTAGCCTCTGTAAACAGGGAATGCAACAAAACCACTAGGCCACAGCGTCCTCAGCACTGGGACTTTTGACCTCATGTATTCATCAGCTGCTGTGAATACCTCACATCATGATGACATCATCACGATGACATCATCACGATGACATCATTTACCAGAAAAAATCTAGATAACTTCAGAAGGACTGCTCCTGAAATCCTCCTGATCTGGTTGTTCACACGTGCACCTCACAGCGGGGACGATCCCTGTCAGACAGGAGGGGGGTCTCCTGAGGTAGGACAGTATGATAGTGGATGAAGCATCAGAGTCCTCCATAGGACTCTATGATGAGAATATGTGTGTTTGTATCAATGAATCTCAATGTGAAGTAAAGAGAGGAGAAGAACATCCTGGAGAACAGGAAACATGCAGCAGCAGGTTGATTAGAGCACGGAGATGGTAGAGGTGGCGTGCAGACAGTCTATGGTCGTGCAGCGATCACAGGGAATAAAGGTCACCACCCCCTCCCACTGGCCCCTCCCACTGGCTCCAGGTGAATTCTCCTGATTATATCCTGCTGTGTTCTCACATCAGCTCACTCTGACTTTCTGCAGAATAAATACGAGGAGGCTGGAGGAGAAACTCAGAGTGAAGAGAGAAACATTCAGATGTTTGAGTGATCACATGACGCTCAGAGTGAAGAGAGAAACATTCAGATGTTTGAGTGATCACATGACGCTCAGAGTGAAGAGAGAAACATTCAGATGTTTGAGTGATCACATGACGCTCAGAGTGAGAACACTTCAGGAGGTTTCTGCAGGTGTGAAATCAGCTATGACAGTGCAGTCTGATGTCCTCTCCTGATAGCACACTGACACTTCCTGCAGCTCATAACTGAACCTTTGTTTCCCTGCCACATGGTCGCACAGTATGTGAACTTTCAGATTCTTATCGCTGATAAATACAAATTTAAATCTTTAACACAAGAGGAGACTTTATGTGATGGAGGTCAAACAGAGCGGGGGACGGTTTGTGAAACGAGAGATGAGTGAATGAAGAATGGAGAGGCCTGCAGGATTTATTCAGCTCAGTTTAATGAAGCTCAAAGTCGATCGAGTCCCAACATCATCAAGATGTAAAATAATAATTTGTACACTTCAGCTGTTTAACTTAATCTCAAAACCTGTCCAAACTTTTACAAAAAAACAGAAGAACTTACCGTCTCTCCTTCAGGAAACAAGTCTGGATCTTTAACTCCTAAAAGTCTAAACTTCAAGTTGCCACAGATCTCTTCCTGGAGCTTTAGCGTCGACTTTACAAGCTCCTCTTATCCTGAAGACACGTCCATGTTTGTGCCCGTCAAGGTGAAATCAAGAGCAGAAGAAGACGGAGACAAATGTCTGATGAATGATTCCACTTTGCATCAACAGGTCGAGCAAAAGCAGAGAAACCTGCCCCCCCCCTCCTGTCTGCCCCGCCCTCAGAGTATAGGTGGGGCTCTCACACCTGGAGGTGAAGAGGCACACACACACACACACACGCACACACATGCACACATGCACACACAGAGTACACTCCTCCCTACTTATGAATACATTTCCCATAAAGTTTTGCCTCCCCTCTCTGGATTACAAGCGTGTATTTGGATAAACCGGAGAGTCTGGACCGAGTGCTCGGGAGGGTGGGGTTCAGGATTTTGTTTTTTAGGGAGAGTCCAAGTGAGAGACGTCACCTTAGTTACAGGTAATCCACAGCAACAACATGAGGAACAGAGGAAGAGAAACGGATCACCTCGAGTCTGAACACGTCGGCGTTTACAGGGTGTGTGAGGTTCAGCCTTTAACTCTGTAACTCTCTGTGGGGGTTAAACACAGACGGGCAGATATTTATCTTTATTATCATCGTGCTTCTCTGGTCCATGTAGATGTTTATTAATCACAACATTTCGACCAACCAGAGACGAGTAAACATGTCGTCATGTGAGAAGAAATCTCAGGTTATAACTGACATCAGGCTGAAAGCTTAAAAACAGGGTCGGTCATTTCCTCCAGATTCACTTTTAAAAAATGTTTGTTGAAGTAGTCTTTAGGTCCTGACAGAAATGAATATTTCAAGTTCTCTCAAGTTCAAAGAAAATCTGTCATCTGTGTCAGTCAATCATTTCAGCCTCTGCCTGAAACGCTTCATTTCAGCTGCTGTCTCTTTAAGGCCCCGCCCCCTTCTATAAACCAAAATCTTTGAGACACAGGACAGAATACAAACAGGTGCTCTCAGGTCTCTTCAGACTCACCACAGAAAGCATGAGGGTTCACATCAAAATTTAACCTTTTTTTGAGAAACACAGCAGTTGGATAAATCTGGTGAAGACATTTGAGTGAGCTTCCTGGTGGGCGTGGCCTACAACCTAGCTCCATGCTTTGCTCTGATACGTCGGCAGCACCTGACGTCTCGTTCAGAGCAGCAGGAAACCCCGTTTATCTCTGATGAATACTGCACCACAGTTACGACCCGCTGGATTCAACATGCTGACCTTTTGGGTTTCATTCGGGTCTCGATGGCGTTAAATAGCACCACTGCTACTTCCTGTAGCAGTTAGCGCTGCTCTTTGTGGATTAGATGGTATTTACAAAGAGGCTTTTCTGTAGAGGAGGGGGGAAACTTTGTGCAGGATTTTGGAATAATGTACAAACTGTAGATGTTAATGGGACAGACTGGATCAGGACGTGGTCTGCTTGGCGGTGCAGTTTGGGTTAATTTCACACTTTGTGGATCGCACGCTGTCGTATCCTCTCGTGCAGAGGGTTTCGAGAACGCAGAATCAGGCCCTCAGTATTTTAATCTGCAGGAAAGGTTTCTGTTTTCCTTGAATGTTTCTCAGGAGTTTATTCTCAGAGCTTCCTGGAGCTCGTGGACTTCATTTAGACTCTCGTCATGACAGCAGTAACAAGAACAGAAAACATTCATTTAGTTTTGTTATTAAAGATTCTTGTGATTCTCAGCTGTTTTTTTTGATGATGATCATGTTTTTTATTTGCAGCACACGACTCCATCCAGCGTTTTAATGAAGAGAAATAAAGACACAGACAACATGAGCTCTAAAAATAAAACACACTTTACTGCAGCTATCAGGACACAACCAGCTCCTGGATACATTTCCTCTGGTATTGTTGCGCTCGCCACTCAAAGCGTTTGTTTATATGTTTTCATGCGGTCTAGAAGGAGGGTTGAGATAGCAGCGAGGAGAGAGAGACAGAGGACAGAGAGAGAGAGAGAGAGAGGGGACTTCATCCTCCACGGTCGAGTCAAAGTGTATGGTGGGTTTTTTTCACCGTTACAGCATGTCTGCACGCTCTGCTCGCTTCCTCCTGGTGTTTACAGCGACCTTGTGCACAAGGTGTGGAAATACAATGTGAAATACAAGAAAAGGGGGTGGGGGGGGAATAAAAAAGGTGGGACGGAAGACAAGGTTTAAAGGTTCAACACTGAAACATATTTACATTTTAATAGACTGCTAGAAGCAAATCCAAGCTAGTGTTAACCAGGGTTTTGCTTGCGTCCATTGCCGGGGTGGGGAGGGGGCCGGGGGGGCGTCCGAATGAAGGGAGGGGGGAGAAGTGAGGAGAGGTCTATTTTAGAAGGAGAGGGGGACAGGGTATGTGGAGGCATTTATCTCGTCTTCTGGTTTCAAGTATATATACTTTAAACAGTATCATATAATAAAATAAAAATAAGAACATCATTACGCTCTCCGTCCACTCAGTGGAGACGAGCTCGAGGTAGATAGACGAGGGGGCATTAGGGGGGTTCCCCGGCAACCTTATCGCGGCGTGCCGGGCTGAGGTAGGGTGGAGGGGGAGGAGGGGGAGGAGGCGGAGGAGAGGATCAGGCAGGCGAGGAAGGCAGGAGGCAGCAGGTTTAGATGATGCCGTATTTGGCCAAGTCGCTGAGCTCCATGTCGCCGAAGGCTTCCCATGGGCACACCACGGTGATGTCTGTGCCGAGACCCTCCATGCCGGGGATGTCGTCGCCGAAGCTGCAGGAGAGGAAACGAGAGAGGAGTGAGTGACTCAGAGCGATTTGGATCTGATAGAAAACGACTCGAGTGTGTTTTTTCTTCTTCTTACCCCTTCTGGCCTGGTTTGGGGGCCTTGCTCTTGAATGTGCGGGTCTGCCTCTGCTTGAACTTGGGGGGGCCTTTCTTGGGTGTTGTGGGCCCAGTGGCTCCACCAGGGGCCAGGGCGCTTCCTGCAGGGGGGTTGGCGTTCATTTCAGCTGAGGGTCTCTGGAAGAAAAGCACAACAACAGACGAGGTTATTTCTTTTGAAACAAGGTTTCATCCCATTAAAGATCACATGCTCCTCTTTTGTCCTCTCTCTCTCTCTCTCTCTCTCTCTCTCTCTCTCTCTCTCTCTCTCTCTCTCTCTATCTCTCTCTCTCTCTCTCTCTCTCTCTCTCTCTCTCTCTCTCTCTCTCTCTCTCTCTCTCTCTCTCTCTCTCTTGCTCCGTCGCTGCTGTCCTCTCTTAATCCTGCTTCATCTCTCAATGCAGATTATGCAGATTAGCTTGAACAACCAGATTAGCTGTAATCCTGCTCTCATCCACAGCCCACTAATTGCCCTTCTTGAACAACAGGGACACCATGTGCTAAAGGGAACGCAGCCTCTACTCCCCCCAAATACTGAATGTGCAGCTGCTACAGTCCACGTCTTTCTTAGATATAAATGTGGTCATATTTTGTCCGTAAATGTTGAGTATGACGAGTGTGAAGCTGCATCAACAAGCGATTTCTGTCCAGAACTTTCTAGAGCAGAACTCCCCGTCTATCCCTCTTGTCCTGATCCCAGACCTGATCCTGAACAGTATCCAGTCTAAGCCCTGTTCCTGACCTCCCCTCCGCTGACTGCTGACACTGATAATCCTGTTAACAACAACTCATCTCAGGTGGAAAACGACCCTGTTTAGCACTTTATGTAACTCAAACTTCAGTGTTCATCTTAAATCATTGTCAGCAGATCTACATTGCGGTGGCAGAGCCTCGTATGTGGAGCTGCGGTCGAGGCGTTGCTCAACATGTTGTCGCTGCCATCGTCGCCCTGAGACATAATCACCTTTGCAGACACCTGTTCTCTCCTTTGAGTTTCCCTCTAAGTCCTTTAACTCTCTTTCTAAGAACGATTACATGTTGGTCTGAAGTCACCTTTCCAAAGTTTCCCGACAGTAGGAGTTAAGATGGCTTTTTTTTTTTTAGCTTTTTTTCTTTTTTCTTTTAATCTCAAATTTACATCCATACATTTGATTTGACTCAGTTTTCCTGTGACAACGAGTCGATGTAAATCGTTTTCTTGAGACATCGAGGGAATTAACTCGTTATCACAGGAAAAAAACAGAGTTGTTAATCCCAAGATAACGAGGTGTAAATTCAGATCTTGAGAAAACAACCGAGATCTCCTCGTAATCAAAGGAAATGAAGATTCAAATCAAATGCATGCTTGGATGTCCACTGTGGGCTTCAATAAAAATCACCAAAATACAGTCAATCATTCTCTTCTCTGATTCTGATTTGGACTAAATTCAAATTTTCTTGCACAAAAGTAAGAAAACAACATTTTCCATCTCATCTTGTTTTGTTTAAATTGATTTTAAAAGCTTTCCTTTGCATCATTTCACAGTTTGCATGCACAGAAACATTTAAAGTAAAAGTAAAGACATGCATGTGTGTGAAGCCGTCCTCATCTAATCTTTACCAAAAGTTGATAAATGTACTCATGAAGAATGATTGTAATGTGTAATATATATAAAAGTTGTAAAAGCAGCAGTCATCATGCTCAGTAGAGCGTCCTCACCTGTTGTCACAGATATCCCGGGGGTCACGCTCCACGTCTTCTCAAAGCTGCTTCTTTTGTCTTCTTGACTTTGTGAAATGTGTCGTCTGCTTCTCCACTTTTATATCTCCACCTCTAATCCTCACATCCTCCTCTTTCCAGTCACATGGTCGCTTGACCCTTTTCAAGCCAAACACCTCTGAGAAAACCAGCATCACCCCCCCTCTCTCCCCCCCTGTGTCCTCGTTACCTTCACTCCCCCACCACTGCCCTCTATACCTGCCATGTTAAGGAAGCGGCGCCCTCCGCTGGGTAGACGGTGTCAAAGATCAATCTGGAAGGATTTGATGGAGCTTATCCCTCTAAACCTCAGCACGCCTGCTGTTAGTTCTGAGCTTCAGGTCCATGTGAGAGAGTCATGACGTTCTCCATTGATCCCTTGTGCAGGACGGTCCAGCTCTGTCATGACTCTGTAGAATTCTAAATATTTAATCTCAAACATTAGCATCATAAAGAGCTTTAAGCTAGGAGACCTGATGATACAATCCCTTTGTTTTAATATGATTCTGTACCAGACTGTACGATATGCTATGATACGATAAGGTGCGTTTAATATGATTCCATACATTATGATACGATGAAACATGATGTTGTAATGTTAGACTTTAGAAAGTGGTCAGGATGGGAAACCGTTTGGTGGTTGACGCCACTGACTGGAGGAGCCGGGCACTCGTTTCTGCAAAAAGGGCTCCGAGTTTAATCCACCAGCGGTGAGAAAATGTTCGGCCGCCACTTCGTCATCAACGACTTACGATATGACACGTTACGATATGACACGTTACGATATGGCACGTTACGATATGACACGTTACGATATGACACGTTACGATATGACACGTTACGATATGACACGTTACGATATGAAACGTTACGATATGAGACGTTGCGATATGATACGTTGCGATATGAAACTTTACGATATGAAACGTTACGATATATGTAATGATATACGTTACGATATGATATGTTACGATATGAAACGTTACGTATCAAACGTTACGATATGATATGTTACGATATGATACGTTACGATATGATACGTTACGATATGATACGTTACGATATATGTTACAATATGAAACGTTGCAGTATGGTATGTTACAATATATGTTACGATATGAAACGTTACAGTACGATACGTTACGATATGAAACATTACAATATGAAACGGTCCGACATGATACAATACGATATGAAATGTTACGATGTGATAAGTTACGATATGAAATGTTACAATATGATATGTTACGATATGATATGTTAAGATGTGATACGTTACGATATATGTTACAATATACGTTACGATATATGTTACAATATACGTTACGGTACGATCTGTTACAATATGATATGTTACAATACGATACGTTACAATACGATATGGAACGTTACCATTCCAAAACGTTACAATATGATACGATCAATTACTATTATTATGATACCTAAATTACGATACCCAACAATACGATACAATTTTATTTGAATTGAATTTCTTTATTTTAATAGATATAGATATGATACAACACGACATGTTGAGGTGCAGTAACATACGATACAGTTTGATACGACACTGTGCGGTATGATGTCATGATGTCAGTAGCCAATCTTATTGTACACTGAAATAAGATTGGCTATCATACAATACAAGGGGATAAAATACGATGGGACACATTTTAAAAACCCAGAGGGAAAATATGTCTGTTTGACTTTAATGCTGAGCACGTTAAGTCATCTCAAAAGACTTTTACCTTCAGCTTTAACTGCACCTACATCACCAGGTATTCATTCTAAATGAAGGCTCGATTAAATGTTTATTTGTGACTCAACTCAACAGCATGGGTTGGGCATCCTACTGCCAAAGAGCTAATGAGGGAGGGGCAGGTCGGGAAATTAAAGGGATTAATATTAACGTATGTTAAAGTGTGAATTAAAACAGTGAACTACAGCTGCAGTTTTACCCTGACTACATCTGGCCTTCAGTTAAAACAAAAGAAGTTTAACGCAAAAGGGTCTTTCTCCTAACCAAGACAAGTTTATTTATTATCATTCATATCCTGTCTTAGAGAAAGGACGTTCATGACACCGATTCCAACTCAACAGTTTGGCATGTGTTTGTGGAAATTGTTGATCTAAAGGGAGGATCCCGGATTAGCCTCTTTGGGAGCAGGGCAGATGCTGAGAACGAGACGTGACGCAACCACAAGGAGCAGATTGTGTAAGCAGACACTAAGTCTGACTATTCTTCAACCATTGTTGAAAGAGAAAACATACAACTCAGAAGAATCCGGTCAGCGCTCTTTTTTCATTGTTATTATCAGAGTTGAAGGTTCTTTGTTTGGTTGTCATTTTTAGAAAGACGTGATCTTTTCTTCATCTCTGATTACCTTGCATTTGGTCTTGATTCTTCTACTCTATGATTAAAGGAACAATGCAACTTTTTTAGCCAGTAGATGTTGCCCTTGAGCTCCAGCATGAAACCAAAACAAACTACTGTTTGGCCACGCCTCCTCCATACTAAAGCCTCCGCTCTCCTCCAGAGACACACCTCCAACCCCCCTCCACTCACATTCGCTCAAAGTGGTTTTTGAAAGTGGCAGACAAAGTTGTGCTTTGCTCGAGCTGCAATCACCTGTGTCCTGCGTTCTTGTGTTAGCATGCTAATGTTAGCGCCCTTTAGTTAGCTCATAGCTTCACATTGCATGTAAATTAATATCTAAAATGCTTACATAACATATAACTTACAAAACAGCTTTTATATGCAAGGGGAGGAGCTGGCCGCCCCGTCCTGGCTTTTTAGGTGGGGTACAATCACTTCTATCTGAACCAGTTCTCTTTCCCGCTTCCATCGGGGGTCTTAAAAGCGCCTACCTTCTCTGGTCCAAACAAATCCAGAGCATTCAGGAGCAGAATCTAAAGTTAGAAGGAGGACATACTGGCTGCTGCATTGTTGTCAGAGAAGCCAGCACTTCAACATAGCATGTTTCCTTAATGATCAGAGAGTAAGATACCTTCATCATCTCACTCTCTACACAGCTCACTGATTGGACCTTTAAAGTCATTTGGATTAATCCTCTGGGGACCAAAAAGGTGTACAAAATTTCTTAGCATCACTCAAACCCCAAAAAACAATCTGCCAGTAGCGCAACAAGAAGCACGGTGACGGTCTGTTGTCCTTTAGTATCCCTGATAATCCTCTGAAATACTAGAGGACCTTTTAATCCAATACTGTGAATCATGCAAAGCCGGAGTATTTTAAGAAAGGCGGAGAGGATAGACCTTTTCAGAAAGTTTCCGCTTTTTTTAGACTCATGTATCAGAGGGAAAGGACCAATCAACTCGCTGTACATCTCCAGTTCATTACCTGTTCATTACATGGCCATTTCCTGTTTAGTGTCTTCTGTTACTTCCCACACTAGACATTTTGAATGTCAAACAGCTGGGCCTAAAACCAAGCTTGACGATGATCATAGACTGTTTCAGAAAAAGATAAGGCTGTCACAACACCACATGTTGTATTGTTCCCCCTCCCTCGTGTCCGGAGCCACGTGGCACCATATTTGGATGAGAGCTGCAGCCGTCTGTTCTCAAGGTTAACGCATTGTCTTGCTAATTAGCTCGTTAGCTTTAGCTTCTGCCAGAGGTGAGATTCAGTGTTGTGGTTGTAGCTGACTGTTTTTGTTTAAAGGAGCTTAGAGAGCTCGCAGCACAAACAGCCCACAGGTTAATTTCAGTGACTGAATTAGCTGAGGGGACATCAGGTAGGTAAATTTGGCAACTAAATATCTGTAACTTAAAGCTTTGATGTAACTAAATATAACGCTTTACAAAAATGTTGTTGTTGAGAATATAGAAATTAGCAAGCACAATTTTTCCAAGGCTATAAACATGATTATTTCTGCTGTACATTTAAATATGAGGCTGGATAAGTATTTAATCGCTTTCCAGTCGAGCCTCAAGTGGCCACTCAAGGAACTGCAGTTTTTGTTGCACATGCACGTTGACTTGTTGCTGTCAGAGCAACACTTGTATGTTGTCTCTAGTGTTGTCAAAATGTTCAATTATTCAGTCCACCTCCAGTGTTGAAAAATCAAGCCAATGCAAAATCCTGCAGTTCCTGGAGTGTCCACTAGAGGCTGGCTGCAGAAGCACAGGAAGTCACATACACACCCATTCTAAAAAGCCTGTTTTTACAGCAGAGATGAACATGTTTACAGCCTGGTTCAAAAAACCAAATAGGTGTGATTAGCTCATGTCTGGATGGACACACACTGTACGGGGGGTGAATGTTTTGATGACTCATCAGTTTTGATTTGATGAAGGATAAGAGTTATTCACAATAAGGCGTGTAGCTGACCTGATTGACAGGTGGGCGCGGTGTAACGGTTTGTCAGGAGGTTTAAAACCCGCCTCAGCACTTGAGTAGCTCATGGTCAGTCTACCTGTGATGGTTATGGCTAATAACTCAATCCACTATGGAGAAAATGAATGTGATTTTTACTTCAGGAACCAGACTGTTGATCCCTATAAGCAGCTGTAAACAGTCGACCTCCTGCTCGACTGACGATAGCAGACCTGAACTTCTCTGTTCAAGATATACGGAGCATAAAATACTGAATGCAAAAGTCAATGTGCTGCGTTTATTTTGCAAAAGCCTCTTAATTTTTTAATATGTAAGTTTGCAATCAGGGTTGCTCTATGATCAGGTGCAGGTTTTGAGGCCAGAGCATGATGTGGTCCTAAAGGAGGCCAGGACACCCATCGCTAAGCCTCTTTACAAGCAGGTCGGCAGCAGAACGTAAGCAGCACAACACTCTTATGAATTATAACAGTCTGCAGATTTGGGTTTACTCAAACTGAAATTTAGGACGCACAATCCAAACTCATCTTTTAAACCAGTGTGGTCCGTTTTTATTGGTTAGCTACGTATGCACCAAATTATAAACGACTTGAAAACATGCTGCTTCATTTACAGCTCGCTCAGCAAATCTTGTTTTTTCTGTGGTTAATTTTAAATCTTCC